GGGTCACCGAAACAATGATCGGTAAAAAACGTACCACATATAAGATTGATGAGTATTATTTATATTTATTATATTATATATATCTCTACATATATAAAAGTCAATGTCTGTCTGTTTCGCGATAAACTCAAAAACTACTGAACCAATTGGTACCAAATTTTGCATGTCGCTTTTTATAAACCTGAGAAAAATTTTCGGCTACATTTTGATTAGTATTTTTGGCTATTTCTTTTTTTTCATTTGAATAACTTTTTTTTTACGCGGAGTAAATACGAGGCGAAGTAACAACACGAGGCCAATTAAGCGACCATTGAGCGTTCTGCATTTCTTTTCAAGTTGCTTGCGTACTTTTTTTAAAATATCTTTTTATACGAGTGTCACTTTTTTTTACAAAAGTATTGAGAGAGAAATTTATATTACTAAGTTACGGTAAGTGCACACAATGCAATTAAAAAAAAAACTTTAAAAAATTAGCGTTACTGTATGTAAACAATGGCTTTCGTATTTTTTATTAAGTTTTGTTCTGGCCTTTGTTTTTTTTTTATATCTTCTTATATATAAAAGTCAATGTTTGTTGTCTGTTTCGCGATAAACTCAAAAACTACTGAACCAATTGGTACCAAATTTTGCATGTCGCTTTTTATAAACCTGGGGAAAATTTTCGGCTGAATTTTGATAAATATTTTTGGCTATTTATTTATTTATTTATTTTATTTGAAGAACTTTTTTTACGCGGAGTAAATATGAGGCGAAGTAACAACACCAGGCCAATTTTTCTTCAAGTTGCTTGCGTACTTTTGGTTTAAAATATATTTTTAAACGAGTGTTACCTTTTTTTACAAAAGCATTGAGTATTGAGAGAGAAATTTATATTACTAAGTTACGGTAAGTGCACTCAATGCAATTTAAAAAAAAACTTTACAAAATTGTCGTTTTGTTTTGGCCTTTTTTTATCTCTTAAAAAAAATCGTTTAAAATGCAGTCGCAGTCATTAGCAAAAACATATGTTTGCCTAATTTCCATGTGCTCTTCTATTTTTACAGAAAATATTTACATTCCAGTGTTTTGGATTAATTTTTTATGAGCCTATATTTTCTTATTCTTACTGAGAAGATGGGCATCGCAGTCACTCACTCAACTCGGGCAATTTCAAGGGTTAATACCCTGGGGCGGGTACCTCGGGGGTTGGGTGGATAAGCTCCCATCTATTTGAATTATATTGATTTTGAAACAACTAAATGGATTGCAAAAATAATTAAATCAAATACCTAAACACTAATATAATACAATTTTGCCATCACAAACCTTTTGCCTGTGGTGTATGTGTTACCTCTGTATTACTACTCCTCTATGGCACTTCTACAATTTATTATTGACGTACTTCCAGTATGAAGGAAATTGCACTCGGGGGAATTCTCGGGCGAAGCCGGGTCATTGGTCTAGTATATTATATTTACCAGATATATAAAGTAAATTATGTACATTTGAAATTTATTTTAACTTTTATCTTTGTAACACTCTCAATAGAGAATTACTAGGTTGTCCCAAAAGTTCGTAAACACTTGCAAAAAAATTGAAATACCAATATTATTCGCCGTTATGTATAATGTCTTTGTATTATGTATAAAGTAATTGTGTTATGTGTATTATTATGTATTCGCCGTAATAATATTATTTGGCAAATAATAAGAAAAGCAAGGTTTTAAGAAAAACACGAACTTTTGGGACAAACCTATAAAATTTATTTATTTCAACACACAAGACAGCTCTGCTGTCTTAGGTTTGACTTTATACGAGGTGTGTTCAAAAAGTATCGCGACTTTTGAATTTTCGCGGGTTACGTATATTCGAATTTCGATCTTTTTGTGGCTTTATGTTGGTACTCATGTCTCTCACTTATGCCGACGAGCTCGGCCATTTTGAATGTTCACTTAATTGTTGACAGCTGCTTTGCTTGCAGGTGTTTTGGATCGTCTTCGTCACACTTATCATCCAGCTTGTTATGTCCCACGGGAACGACCTCCTGTTGTCTGGGTTTATAAGCCCCAAGTTCCAGGTACTGTCACATCACCATGGCAATCCTTGGGGTTCTTCTAGCAGCCATCCTGGTAGCTCAGGCCACAGCCTTCGAATTCAGGGAGTGCGGTGAGTAATATTTCTTCATTCCTTTCAATACCTATGGATAATTGCATCGATTTACATTTTTTGAACAGAAACAGTTATAAACAAATTACACAAGAAAGTAAACAAAAATAAAAAGAGAGAAACAATAATATATATTAGGAACCTGAACCTTTCAGGTTAGAAAGATAATCATAAATATATTTACAAAAATAGTTAAATCTATGATAATTCTCTCTGCTATTTACAAATTGATATAGATCTACAATATTATTTATTATAAAATGGTGTCGATATAATGATGGTTAAAAATTATAGTTAGGGAGATATGTAAATAGAGATGGTTATAATTCGTTAGAAAGTGAATTACAGGAAATGGTTGAAACACACCCAAAGTCCAGCGGTTATCATACTTATCATCCAGCTTGTTATGTCCCACGGGAACGACCTCCTGTTGTCTGGGTTTATAAGCCCCAAGTTCCAGGTACTGTCACATCACCATGGCAATCCTTGGGGTTCTTCTGGCAGCCATCTTGGTAGCTCAGGCCACAGCCTTCGAATTCAGGGAGTGCGGTAAGAATTCTTTCTTCATTCCTTTCAATACGTTAATACCTATCTCCTCTTTCAATCATATGACTAGAACATTTTCCTTTGATTCCTAAACATGATACAAATGTTTATCGAAAGACATACCTCTTTCTTTAAAAATTCTCTCTCTCTTTCTCATAGTGTAACAAAACAACTAGGAGGACGTGTCAGACTGCCTCATCCAATTCACAATATGCAAATATTCATTAGAAAACCCGACGTACTATGCCTATTCTGGGATAGAGAAGTTTCAAATTGAATCTCATTCTCTCTCTCTCTTTTATTTATTATTATCTCTCTTATTTACATATAAGTCGGTGGACGAGTAGGTAACACCCTCGATTCCCGACAGTCATGAACCGGGATTGAATCCCGCGTTAACCTTTTGTTTAATATGTGAATAACCTTCACATATTATTCATTGTTTCAATTATCATAAACTAGGTTGATCTTGTTGAGCGGTACCTAATAAAGTGAATTTAGAACCGATCTCTTATTTATTCTGTATTAACCTTATATAATCTAATATGTACATTGTAATAAAGTAATTTCAATCTCAATCTCTCTCTAGAACAAATCACTTTTAAGAAATATAATAATTGAATAGAGAGAGAGACATAGATTCTTCTTTTTTAAAAATAATTTTCTGTCATTTATTGAAATGGAAAAATATTGTGGAGGGTGAACCTTCCCAGTGATTTTCGACAATTTAATCCATCAGAGAGACCGCTTTTTAAGGATAGAATATTGTATTGGACAATCCTGCTTATATATATATACGACACTGTATAATGGAATCTTAGTTATTGTATCTAATCAAACTATAGACAAAATCTTTGAGTACAGTATAAATGTTTGGAAATTTCTACATCGAGCAATGCTCTTCTGCAAACAATTCATACAAGGTCAGTTATATGTCCAGTGTAGCCTAGTGGACATGGCATCTGCCCGGTAAGCGGAACACTGTGGGTTCGATTCCCATCCCTGGACACTTTTATTTTTCCTTTTATCATTACTCTTCACAATTCATCCTTTCATACCTCATCTCTAAGGTTAGAAATAATCGTTATTTATCCTTAAAAATAAATTTCGATTTTTCGTTTAAAAGAAACACATTTGGGATAATTTTCAAATGTCGTTTTATAATCATAAGCCTCATTATATTATATTATATGAACTTTGTTTATGATAAAAATATCGAGATTATTAATTCAAAAGATGCTTCGTTATTGGTCACGCACACAGTTGTGGAAGGATGATATTCATGTACCAAAAATGGCACCAATCCCTTTTAAAATGTATTAAAATGATGAAACAATGTATTTTGTATGAAAATATAGGTTATTTTTCCCGTCAAAATAGAAGTCAAAGGTAGACACCATCTATTTACCGTCTCCGCAAATTAACACCCTCAGGTCGGTGACAAAGCCACAATACCAGATTTGGAAAACTGAGAAGCGTCCACCTAGAGACCATGGTTTCAAGTTATTGGCCCTCTTCAGCCCAGAACGAAATAGTTTTGTGTATTTTATATGATTAGCCCACCGAATATTCGACAGAGTGTGATCTAAAAACATTTAAACCGAATTACTTAAGTCGGTATAGGTTCAAGGATACAACTTAAGCCTACATGCTTTCTGAATGATTACATATATCATAAACGAAATATCCCACTATATGTGCTAAGTGCAATTCTCAACCTGGAACCCCAAAACACATTATTGACTGAATTAACCCTCTCAATGATATCCTAACCTTGACATATTCTAAACATTGGTACTTTAATTTAAATATTTAATCATGTATGGTTCCTTTTGCTCTGTATGTTTATTTTTTGTATATATGGTTATATTTCTTTTTGTTTGGTTTTTCTTTCTTCTCTCTTTTCTTTTTCCTTATTACTTCTTGTATTCTAGTTTTTACTTTTGAAATATCTTCCTTTGCTAAATCCTGTAGAGGGGAATCATGTATAGGGCTGGATGCCCCAATAAAAAGGCTTGTGTGTGTGTGTGTGATTATTGACTGAATTGACTCATCCATTGATGAGCTCTACTCTTCCCCAGCAGAAACCATCAAAAGTCTCAAGCTTTACAAGCTTGATACCTTAATATGATTGAGTGGAGATAAGAAAGAAGAAGAGAAGAAGATAAACGAAATATAGTGAATACAGAAGCGATAAACAAGTCATTAAAAGTATTGAATTGCTACATCGATTCATCCCGGATCTTGAGAAGTAAAAAGTAGCAATCAATAATAGAAAGTATAATAATATTTACAAACGGAAAAATATGTCCAGGGTAGCCTAGTGGACATGGCATCTGCCCGGTAAGCTGAACACTGTGGGTTCGATTCCCATCCCTGGACACTTTAATCCATGTTAAAACTTTTATTTTAATGCAATCCTCTTGCTCAGTGATAATCATTTTAAATCGGGAGCTTTATATATCACAATGTTTATAGATAAATTAATTATTTCTCTGATAGATATATAATAAAACTGTATAAATTTGTTTGTATAAAATGTCACATTGACACAAAACCACGTAGCATTATTCAAGCATTTTATCGGAGTAATTAATCAAATTGACGGTTATTTAAGAAATTCCTGATGATTTTTTCCACACAAGTCTTCAGTAGAATTTGATTATCTCTACATTATCTATTCCATTGGCCATTCCTACATGAAAAGAGACTGGAAATTCGCGAAATTTCGGGGCTAACTCACTACAATGAACAACATGTATATAAAATCTTTACTACTCTCCTGCTGGAGAAAACATTTGTTTATAAATATTTTAAAATTTTCAAGGGGATTGATAAAATGAGAGAAGAAGTGCTCAACTCCACAAACAACTGCTGACTGCTCCCCCTCCCCTCTAAATTGCTTTTCCTCCTCACTCATGTACATATATAACCTTTTAGGGGAATCCCCTTGTAAGACAATAGTGTCTTAATAAAGGTTTTTGTTGTTGTTGTTGATTATCTCTATATGGTCTTAAATTGACCATCAAACAACGGCAATTCTAAAAACAAATAACCATTAAAAAATGTGTCCAGATGATACCGGGGAAAATATCTTGAACATCCTCAACCTGGACATCAAGCCCGACCCTCTAATCATTCCAGGCAAGGCCCAAGGCATCGTGAAGCTGCAGGTGAATTCCGACGTGGGAGAGGGCACTGAATTGAGGGCCGATGTGAAGAGACACGTCTCTTTCATGGGAGACACCTTCAAGGTGCCTGTACCCTGTCTTAACAACATCGGTTCCTGGTAGGTAGACTTTCTTCCACTGGACGTACACCGTAGATCCTAAAATATGCCTTAGGTGCATGCTTGATTCTAAAACATGTTCTGGACTTGTACCTAATAACATGGCCTAAATGTACACCATGGATCCTGAAATATTTCTTATCTCTGTAAGTGTATAATAGATCATAAAGGAACTCCTAGACTTTCAAGATAGATCCTAAAATATGTTTTGACATGCATCATAGATCATAAAACATGTTCTGAACCATTACCCTACAACATTTCCTTGATTATTACCCGAAACATATGCTAGATTTGTGTTCTGCAATATTCCCAGGACAATCGCCACATATTCTAAAACATATCTAGGACTTGTATTCAACAACATACCCTGGACTATAAATAAATATCTTTAAAAATATCCTGTACTTGTACCTTACAACACGCCTTGGATTATCACCATATATATACTAAAATATTTTTGTACTAATTTATTACAACATTTCCTGGACTATAATCACAGATCCTGAAACATATCTGGGATTTTCGCCCTACAACATGCCCTGTGCTCTCACCACAGATTCTAAAACATATCTTTGACTTGTACCATAAAACATTCCCTTGACTATCGCCACAGATCCTAAAACATATCCTGGACTATCATCACAGATCCTAAAACCTATCCTGGACTTATACCCCACAATATGCCTCGGACTATCAATATATATCCTGAAGCATATCATGTATTTTTACTCTACAACATGTCCTGGACTCTATCATCACAGATCCTGAAACGTATACTGGACTTGTACCCTACAACATGCCCTGGAATACCACTACAAATCCAAAAACATGTCCTTAACTATTACCCAATAACATGCCCCAGACTGTCATCCCAAATCCTAAAACATAACCATGAATTGTACGCTAAAAGATGTCCCGGACCATCGCTTCAAATCCAAAAAACATATCATCGACTTATACCCTACAGCATGTCTTAGAAATATACCATATTTCATATATCAAGTCTCTTGGATGTTTACCATACTATATATGACACGTGCTAAACTTATTCCGTATATGTAAAAGCGCATCTTAGAAAAG